TGGCCCAACCTCACACTGTGGTGTGTACTTCAAATGCACTCTGCAGAGCCTATTTCTTTTCCTACCTTTAATAAAACTTTGGTACTGTTAAAAAAAAAAAAAAAGGACAAAGTCTCAGATAAGAACCCCTCCCTAAACACTGTTATGGAAGCAAGAGACCCGTCATCTCAGAGAGCCAGCCTGCTGCAAAGAGCTGAAAACAGAACAAAGCAAAACCCAAGCAGTTACAGGGGAGATAACTAGCTGGACTGTCAAATCACATGTGCAAAACATAGAGAAGGGGAAGAAAGGAAGGGGAAGGGGAAATCCTTGGGCCACAGGGGTGTGGGACAAGCAGGAAGGGTTACCCAGAAGCCTTGCTCAGGCAGCTGCTCTTGTCTAAACAGCCGGAGGACTCTGAGGCAGAGTGATCACAGGAAAATAGTCTTTCTTAGGACTCAGAAGCTAGTTAGGACCTGCCCAGCACTGGGGGGCGAAGGCTGCGTTCCTCCTCATCCCAACTGCCCCCACCCCTTGCTCCCAGTCTGAGGGCCAGCATGGAGGCCGGGGCTGCCGGTCTGAGGCCCCCGGCATCCGGGGAGGTGGGACATTTGTAGCCAGCGCTCCCTGACCACACTCCCAAACCATGTGAAGCCAGCTCCAGACCCGCTGCCACTCTACAGGTGCTCAGGTGAGTGGCTCTGTGATGCTGGACGCCGAGACCCAGGATCCAAGGCCCTGCAGCCTCTCTTCCACGTGCCCAGCACCTGCTCCCCCAGGCACAAGATCCCTCCTCCAGCCTCTCCTGTTCCACTCACCTGGTCACTTCCTGTCATCTCAGTGGTGAACTGTGCCCCTCACAGACAGGTGCACCTGAGAAGGGGTCGGCGGCCTGCCGTGTTCCACATTGGAGGGGCGGGAGAGTCCCAGAGGCGCAGGAACCTGCACCATTGCTAGCCTGGAAACCAGTCATTTCCACCACAGCTTCCAACATTCCAAGCTTCTCATCCCTCCAACCTAGGATTTAGGCTCCCTGCCTCCTCCTGCCTCACACACCGGAGTCCACGCCTTTAGCCTCTTCAGTCACAAGCATCCCCAAGTCATCTTTGCTGTCCTATAGCCCTGTGGGCGCCCAGCCCCCACCAGCTGTGCCTGTTCCTTCCTGCTCATCAGCGTCCTGTCAGGGATATGTCTCTTTCTCTACCTCCACATCTTCCAAAATGGCCTTGGTCTATCAGTCCTGTTCCCAGACCGCCACCTGCAGACACTCATAGTGTCCTTACGCCTGCCAGGAACATCGCTGGGTGCCAACGCCTCTTCCTGTCCCCAGCACCCTGCCCCATTCTCAGGAACCTGAACTATCGGTCCCATGGCTGCTTCTGTAACCAGATGGGACAGTACGCCTTGCGACTCACGCTGGCCCAGCACAACGGCCACCACGCCTTTGCACGCTGCACTGGTCTCTGTGTTCAGGATCACCCTGCTGTGCTGGCCCCCGAGGTGGACAGTCACATGCTATGGCAGAAGCTGCAGCTGCAGGACTACATGTCCGAGGAGTATTCTTGCTTGAAGTACCCCTTTTTGAAGCTCTTGGGCTTCCCTTGCTCTTGGACTTTCTTCCACCGTCTCCAGAAACAGATCCGCAGTGAGTTCACCCTTCACAACCACCTTCCAGAGGAGGCCCAGAGCCTGCTGAGGGAGCTGTGCCTGGGCTGCGTGGGGTCCCAGCAGTGGTCCTTTATGGGGGTCTGTGTGGACTATGTGCAGGTGATGCCCCAGTACTGGAAGGGTGTGGCAGGCGCCTAGCCTTACCTCCATGGATGGGCTCCGGGCCCAGCACAAAGACTCTGTGGTCACCAGCAGTGGCATGAACTGGTGTAGGGAAAACATCAATACTCCCAAGGGGGCTGTGGTCTATGCTGGTGATGGGGGAGAGGGCACCCTGAGGAAGGACTTCACCCTGCTCACACAGTGCAACCACACCGTCAGGACCACTGGCACCTTTGGCTTCTGGGCTGCTTCTGTAGCTGGCAGAGACACCATCTACCTGGCCAACTTCACCCTGCCAGACTCCAAATTCCTGAAGATCTTCAAGCCTGAGGCTGCCTTCCTGCCAGAGTGGGTGGGCACCAGTTCTGACTTGTCTCCACTCTGGCATCCAACATGAGGACTGCGCCCTGGAAGAAGCCAGGGAGACTTTATATATAGATTGGATGTATCTAAAGCCACTCTCTGGAGGTCTGGTGGCCTCTGGATAAACCAATGAGGTGGTCCTGGAGCAGGTGGGCACCCAGCATGATTCTAGTTAGCCAAACTGGAAAAGATGGGGTGGCTTTCTGGAACTGCTGGACATTCTAGAGCTAACAGAACACCTTTCCCTGATGGCAGGCAATGTCTAGAGAAGTTCATGGCAGCTCTAGAAGCCATAGTGACCATCTGCTCTTTCCTGCCCATATCAACAGGACTCCCAGGTGGCTGCTTCCCTACTGGAGTTGACCATCTTTATCTTTTCTAGATGAGGTGTTGCTTCTCCCCTGCATCTTCAGAAGCCTGGAAGAATTCACAGTTATCTAGAGTAAGCACACACCAACTCTGTTCCTGAGTGATTCTAGAGGTGGCTTGTTCTAGAGAGGGCCAGGTCTAAAGCCTGTGAAGAGCCCTGCTGGGCCCTTCCAGAGGAGGCAGGTTCCAGAGTTCTAGATTACTCTAAGTAAGGATCTAATGAAGGCACAACCGGAAGCTCAGCACCCACCCACCCACACTCACCCCACCCCACCCCACCAGAAAAATTGAGACAGAGCAGAAGGTCTCTATTGAGCCAGCCTCATGCCCTGCCTGCTCAGAGGCTTGGAAAAGCTGGTGCAGTTGTGAGCAGAGCTGAACTCTGTCCAGTCCTCAGCCCACAAAAACACCTCAGAATTCTGTTTTGAGCAGACGGACTAAATCATAGGCAATGGGGCTGGGGATTTAGCTCAGCAGTAAAGCGTCTGCCTGGCAAGCGCAAGATCGTGAGTTCAATTCCTGGTACCAGAAGAAAAAAAAAAAAATCATAGGCAAGAGGAGAGATAGATACAGTTGAAATGCTGCAGCTCTGAAGCACAACCTTCTAGAGATCCAGGGACGCTTTTTTTTTTCAGCTCAAAACTGTTAGACAGAAATGGTATATATTGGTTCTGGGTTTAGGATCAAGGAAGCTTTTCCTCTTCTGCAGCTGAGTTGTTGTGGATCTAGGCTCTTTTTCTGGAAGTCACCATCCTGCAGAAAGCTGGGGGTGCTCCTTGCCAACCACTGTGTACCCCTGAGCTCTCAGAACCACTAAACCTGGCTTTGGGCAGACCCAGGATGAATGGACTCAAGAGTGTGCAAACCTCCCAAACCCAGCTCAAGCCCAGGCAGAAGCACAGAGTCTAAGGTTGGGATTCAGACTCAGATTTCAGGAGCCTCTGCTGCTTTTTGCATGGTGAGGGAAGGGTCCTTGGATACAGTCAAATCTAATCACATCTCCATCCAAGAAGCCAAGTCACTGTCCTCTTGGGGAATTTCGGGGTACCATTCCCAACTCCCCTGCCACAGAGAGGATAGTGATGAATTAAAAGTCTATGTCACCAAAAAATATATAGTTAGGAAAATATGAATCAACTAACTTGATTCACGGTATTTTAGAGGCAGAGAAGACACTAGAAATCCATTTGAGTTAGGCGTGGCGGTGCACACCTATTATGCCAGCACTCTGGGAGGCTGAGGCAAAAGGATCGAAAGTTCAAGGCCAGCCTGGCAACTTAACAGGACCCTGTCTCAAAATTAAAAATACAGAAAAGGGCTGGGGAGGGAGGTAGTTCAGTGGAAAGAGAATGGGTTCAATCCCCAGTACTGCAGGTTCATTCATTAACACTGAGGGCAGCCACACATCTCACACTGGTGCTGGAAGAACCAAGTGCGACTTCACAGTCCCATAGGAGAAGCTGAGGAAAACATGTTCCTGGCACCTCCCAGCCTCGGTCCTAGGTGCTTTTACCTTTGGTGACTTTAATCTGCATCTTTGTGCTGTAATAGCCACAGCTATGAGTATAACATATGTTCTAAGTCTCTCTGGCCACTTGTTCAACCCAAGGGAGATTTTGAGACAGGGAGGAACTAAAGAAAGTTCACACCAGGCATAGAGAAGAGTGAGTTCAAACATGGAGAGGGGTTGTTCTGGCTTGGGTCTAGATGTCCCTCCAAAGCCTCATGTGGTCATAGCTGGGGCTTTTTCAGAGGTGGCTGGATCTAGAGTGTGTGATGCTGGGATTGATTCATGGTGCAATGCTACGCTCAGGGCACTAGGATTAAGGATGGGAGTGCTACCCACCCTGGATAAAATAAGAGGGGCAGAAAGAGCTGCAGTAGTCCCTCACTTGCTTTGCTACCTTCTGGGCACCATGAACTGTTTCTCCTCTACAATGCCTGTGTGCCATGTGCCTGCCTCAGATCCAACCAATAATGGACTGGAAGCTCTACAAACTGTGAGCTAAATAAACCTTTCCTCCTTTAACTTTGGGTGTCGGGTGTTTTGTCTCAACCGTATGAAAAGGCAGGGTTACATGTGAGGATGAGACCAGGGGCCCCAGGAGGTCTGCCCAAGGTCATGCATCCTGGGGAAGAAGAAGTGGCTTAGGTGAAGTCCCTGGAAACTGTGACCAGACAGGCTTAGGAGCTACACCGGTATGGTGAAGTACCCTGGTTCTATCCTTATTGCTCTGGGACCCTGGCAAATCTGTGACATGATGTCTCTGAGCCTCAATAGTGGCAAGCTGGACGTGAGACACCAGCACATAATGGGGTTCTTGGCTGGAATTCCCCTCAAAAGCAGACCCTGCAGCAAAGATCTGGGTAGAAACCATTTATTTGGGAGGTGACAAGGAAGCATTGTCACAGGTGACACAGGAGTCACAGGTGTCACAGGAGTCACATGTGACTCCAGGCACACAAGAGAGCTAGGGTGGTGCGTGACAAAGGTCACTGTTGAGAACAACCACAGCCCGTGTGCCCACAGGGATCCTCAGGTGGAGAGCATTGGCCATGGCTCGGAAGGCTAGAGAGTCCCTCCTAATTGCTGGGGGCCCTGAGATAGTTTGTCAGCGACGCCCCAGGACTGCAGGATTCTGAAGGAACAATGAAGCCTTCAGACCTAGAAAAGGAATCTAAGGAGGTTTGAGGAACAGAAGTTAAAGTTAACCTGAAGGCTGACAAAGGCCCCGGTCAATTAGTCCAAACAAGAATCAATCAGAAAGGTAAGCGATGTGCTGCTGGAGCGCGAGGAGTGGATGAGGAATTTCAAAAAGGCTTTGGGGTGATGGAGATGTGTGGGTGGCCCTCGGGTCGCACACTAGGCAGCCCTGGAAATGTGTGTGAGCCAGACACAGAAAAGGCACAGCACACAGCTGTCATGGTGGGGTTCGGCCCTCCGGGAGCCCCATGCCACCATAACATCTCCAGCCCAAGGAAAAGGCCCTGTGTGAGAGATAGCACCACCTGCACCCTCTCTTTCTCTCTCTGTTTCTCTCTCTGTCTCTGTCTCTCTCTGTGTGTCTCTCTCTCTGTCTCTCTCTCTGTCTCTTTTTTTTTAATAATCATTAACTATTCTCAATGGTTGTTGTAGGAAACACATAATAATAAACATGCATCCATTTATGAAATAGGATAGGAACAATACAAACATTACAGAGTTATGGATAGATTAGTAGGAAAATATCAATGGCTGCTGTAATACATGGTGGTATCTTCAAAGTGGTTTCTCAGGAAGACAGAGACACACAAGAAGGATCTAACAAGTAGTTACAGCCTAAGGGTTGTCAAAAATAGCTTATTACCTCCTCACCAGTGACTCCTTTCACTGAGGTATGATGGCTGGAAGGAAGGCCAGGATTGAAAAGAAGGACCGAGAGACTTGCACCTGTGTCTAGCAACAGTCTGTATTCTTGTTCCTCCATAGTCATGATTACCCAGGGCTCCTCTATGGAGATGACAGTCTGGCCAGAGGGAGAAGGCAGACCATGCCCCAAGCCCTCTCATTCCTGTTGGACTAACTGGTAGGATGGGTCTGAGCTCTGGGGCCTCCACTTCTTCAGAGGGCAGACGGATCTCCAGTGGTCTCCTTTGCATCCAGGGCATGGCCCATGGGGCCTCTTAGGGCAGTTCCTCTTAAGGTGGCCTGGCTTTTAACCGTGGTAGCAGATGAATGCAGTCATCAAGTTCTTCTTGGGGGCCCAGGAATCAGACTTGGGGTCTGTTTCTCTTAGTGCTGCAGCAAAAGAAGCTGCTTTTTCTCAGTCTCTTTGTTTTCTCTCCTTGGCCTCCTCCTGGTCATGGCTATAGAATACTGAGGAGGCAATTCTTACTAACATCTCAAGTGAGCCATCTGGGGCAAAAGCCATTTTATGTAGCTTTTTCTCTCCAGCCTCCCATCACATTGGGACCCCACAACTAGTTAGTGTCCTCTCCCCAACCGTCAGCACAGGCAGCAGGAATCTTACTGCAGACCTCTCCAGAGTGTCTCTCCCTCTGTCTCTCTCTGTCTCTCTGTCTCTGTCTCTGTCTCTGTCTCTGTCTCTCTCTCTCTTTCCTTCCAGGAGAATCCATCTGCTGAGCCGCCCTGGCCATCACAGGCTCCACAACACCAAGGCCAACTTCCAGGAAAGACTGATCTCTGAGCATGGTGACACCATCCTCCATCACAGCCTCCTAGATCTCAGGAGCCCAAATAACAGGCTCCTGCAATGTATACATTCGCTTGACCCGTGTGTCCCTGACCTCCCTGCATAACAGCTGTTCTGCTGAACACCCCAGGAGGATTCTGAAGAATCTGAGAACTAAAATGGAGAAGAAAAAGTATGATTCAATCCACAACCTCCAAAGGCATCTTGGACTTCAAATATTGATGTAATTCAATCAATCGCTCATTAAACAATTATTTATGGAGTGCAGGGCACTCCATTTAAAGCTGGGTCCACTGGGTGGAAGGAATCAGGAAAGTTTCTTGCCCTCACAGAATTCACATTACACTAATGAGTGGATTCATAATAGTAATTATTATTATAGCAACCGCAAAGCTTGCAGCCACCAAACTGAGTATGAAACACCCTTTATCTCACTGCACCTAATTACTCCTGAGTCACTGGTAACAAAACTGCAGCACAAAGAGTGTAAGTATCTGCAGTGCCCAGAAGTGCTTTTTTGGTTGGTGATTAATTTTTCTAACATTTGGGAGCACTTTGGAATATTTTGACTTCTGATGATTACACTCTTTCTTCCTGCGTGTTTCTCAGCTGGATCTGACATCGCCACCACCCCCCCAGGTGAAAGCTCCTAAGACATGAAAGGTTAAACATCGAATATTGTATAATATTCACACATTTCCTTCTGGGCTGCTGATAATAAGTGAGCAATTTTTTCAAATTAAAAATCTTGCCAAGGTCACACGACTTGTAAGTGGCAGAGCCGGGCTGCGGACCTACGCTGGCCTGATCCACGGCCTGTCCTCTTGACCATGACATTTGCTAAATTAATCACATAAAGTCAGTTTGCCGCAGCCAGAAACCTGAACTGGCTCCAATTAGCCGGGACAGAGTGAGAGGTGTGAGTTCATCCCCTCCACACGTTTCCTGGGTAGCGTTGCAATGTCGTGCAATAACATTTTAAAATTATTAAGTGATGCCTCGCTGCTTTTTTAAAAAATTAAGGTGAAATTTGCATAACATCAAATAAATTTTTAAGGTGCACAGTTCAATGGCATTTAGTAGCTGCATAAAGCTTTCTCATCCTCATCGCTGTCTAATGTCAAAATGTAACTGATATTTCTTTGTCAGCCCTGGTCTTTCCTTCCACTCTGCCTCAAGGAGAGAACGGCAAAGCAGAAATACAGAGAGAAGCTGGGTTTTGATTTGGGAACCTGGGTCTTGGAAGCCTGGAGAGTTTTCTCAGAGATAGTTGGGAGATGGGGGGACAGAATGAATGGCACAGAAAGAGTCCCCAGTGGCCCCATCCATGGGGCAGTGGGAGAGTGAGCGGCCAGAGACAGGATGAATCACATGGGCTGGAATGTGTTCCTCCAACTCCTCCAGGGTTGGAGCCCCTGGTGGCCAACTACAGGGAGCCACGTGGGTGCCCAGCCAGGGCCGGAGACCACCCAGGCACAGCACGGAGGCAGCAGCTGTGCATGACATGTTAGTCTCCTTCCATCTGGAAAGCACCAAAGCTCTGCCCCACCCATGCTCAAAAGCCTTTTCACCGAGGAGAAACCTCCGTGCAGAAGTACTCAGCTCGGTGAGCTCTCACAAACCCTGCCCAAGGGAGAAAAGCCAGCCAGGGCCCCAGGAGCACCTCAGGCCGCCTTGCACACAGGGTCCCTCCCTCTGTCACCGCCAACTGCAGCCCCAGTGTTCACTTCTAACAGCAGAGTTGAGCTGGGCTGGCTTGAATGCGGTGCCTCTCAGGTAAACAATCACCAAGGTGAGCTCTGTGTCTGGAGCCACCTACTCAGTTCTGTGTTGGTGAGATTTGCTGAAGTTCCCATGTTCCAAGCCATACAATGCACATCACGAAAGTGCACGGAGGATTCCACCACATGCAAGGAAAAGGCTCTACACCTGAGCTACATCCCCAGGCTTTTTTTTTTTTTTTTTTGAGACAGGGCTATGCTAACTTGCCCAGGAAGGCCTCAAATTTGCAATCCTCCTGCCTCAGCCTCCCAGAGTGGTGGAATTACAGGTGTGTCCCACCACTTTTAGCCTGCGGTTCTTAATCATAAGTCCAATGCTGATCTCTAGAACTCACTCCTCCCACATGGCTGACTCACTACCCCCACCAGCACCTGCCACTCCCCTCCCATACCAGTTTCTGGCAATCACTACCCTGCCTGTTCCCTTAAGTGTGACAACCTCAGATGCCTCATGTAAGTAGATTCGTGCAACTCTGTCCTCCTGTGACTGTCTTATTTCATTAGCATAATGTCCTCAAGGGTGGTCCATGTTGTCTCATATGTCTGGATCACCTTTTCATGGTTGAATAATATTCCATTGTGTATGTGGATGTATACGTGTGTGTGTGTGTGTGTGTGTGTGTGTGTGTATAGAATTTTCTTTGCTCACTCGTCCATCAGTGGACATTCAGGTTGTTTCCACCTCCTAGCTGTTGTAAATAATGTTGCTGTGAGCATGGGTGCTATGGTTTGAATGTGTCCTCCAAAAAGCATGCACTGGAAACTTAATCCCCCACTCAACAATGTCAGGAAGTAAGGGGAGATATTTGGGTCCCAGGCACCCCGCCCTCGTGGATGGAATAGCTATTATAAAAAGGCGTGAGCTTGAAGCACTTCCTCCTCTGTAATGTTTTGCAAGGGTCTGAGACGGATTGGCATTAATTCTCCTTAACGTGCTCTGGAATGACACCTGGCAGAAGGAGCTACCGTACCTGGCAGGTGGAGTCTCCAGTGGGTCTGTTAGGATTCAGATCTAAAATGTCCCTCACAAGCCTCTGGCGTGCAGAAGCGGGGCTTTGGGAACGTGATGGGATCATAGGGGTTCTGGGAAGGTGGCACCTAGTCCGAAGAGGCGGGTCTCTGAGGGCGTGGCCTGAAAAGGTTTTCCTCCCTCCTGACTCCGCCCTTACTCTCTGTTTCCTGGTCGCCATGATATGAGCAGCTTTCTTCTGTCCCGGCGCTCCCACCACGCCACTTCTGCGCCTGCGCCTGCCCGCCGCAGAGTGAAGCCTCTGAGCTGGGCCAGCGTAAACCCCTCCTACTTTAAACTGTGGCTGCCACGTATTGTGTCTCAGAAAAGTGACTAAGACAAGGTCTGCCAGTCTCCAACAGCAATCCCACTGGTTCCTCCTGCTGATTTTTTCCAGTTTTTCACTGTGGTTCAAATTCTGCATCATCCGGCGTCCAAACTCCTCATTCTGAGGAAGCAGCCAGACCTCAAAGGTCAAGGGGACTGCGGGCTGCAGGTCTGAGCGCCTCCATTTCCACCGCACTCTGAACCTTTCCAGAAAGGCAGCCCCACCTTCACCTGTGCCTCCATCCTGCCTCTTCCACCTCAAATGTGTCCGCTGCTCAGGTCACCGGCAAATCATTACTGGCCTTGACTGGAGCAGTCCCGTGGCGGCAGAGGCAGAAGACAGTGAAACAGGTTGAGGAGTGGGCAGGAAGGAGGAGGTGGAGACTGGAATGTTCTAGAACTCCTTGGTTGGGGGAGCATCTGTAGCAATTCATACTACCATACACTGAAAAAGGGAGCATTTTGTTGCATATAAATTATACCTCAATGAAACTGACATCTATAAAAATTAAAAATAAGTCAGGCATAGTAGTGCATGCCTGTAATCTGAGTACTCTGGGAGGCTGAGGCAGGAGGGTAGCAAGTTTGAACCCAGCTTGGGCAACTTAAAGTCTTTGCAAGACTTCTTCTCAACACTTTAAATAAATAAATAAATGATAAAATATATAATATAAAAAGGCTAGGAATGTAGCTCAGTGGCAGGGTTTCCTTTGGGTTCAGTCTCCAGTACCCAAAATTTAAAAATTAAAGCAATCATTCTTATTCAACAATGGCCTCTTTCCTCCTCAAACATCTTCCTGTTCTGCGCATGACATTTCAGATGCGGCCGTTACAACAGATGATGAACATAAATACTTCTCTCCTGCTCCATTTTCCCCCTCTCTCTCTTCACCAATTTTCTTCTCATTTTTCCCTCCCTGTAGCTTTTCCTCTCCTCCCTTAATAGCCTCAGTTCTATAATTAGTCTGCTCCGATAATTCTTCTAGCCAGTGTGTTTTATTTCTAAAATATTCACTAGCATGGTCGTCCCATACTGCCTTAATTCTCAACTCCCTGATCACTATTTTTACAGTCCTACAGCATTAATAATGTCTGCTATTTTGGTAGTACCTCTTTCTCTTTTCTTTCCTGTTGGATGAACAAAAATTACTTTGCAGGTTTTCCATGTCCCTGTGAGGTACTTAGGGCAGGGAAAGAGATTTTTGCAAATGGAAAAATATCTAGGCACAAACACTGGCCGTGTGCTGCCAGGCAAGGTAGAAAAATAACAAACTGAAACTGTCCAGAGCATTCAGTGCTCACCTGGGCAGAATGATGGGATTCCTCTAATCCAGAGGCCGTCTTCACTGAATCTCCAGGTATGATTCAGCTAGTTACACAACACGCCCTGCCCAGGGGCAGGTCCCACGCCAACACCTATGCCGCCACCACCCGGAAGAGCTCGCTGAGTCCGTGCCGTGAAACAGGGCTCGTTCCCCCCACAAATACAGGGCTTCCAGCTTGTTGGATTTCCCCCAAACTTTCCTCCTGTGGTGCAAGATGCTCCCACCAAATCCTACTGTGCCCCAGCGCACAGTCAGCTCTAGATGGTGTAGTCCTTGTAACAAGGTGGGGACATTTGTCACATGCTGGCTCACTCATAATCAGTAAGACATGCACAGGGCTTTACAGCGAGTCTGACCAACTGCAACCTGTAGCGCTGAGATGAACCACTTGCTCGCTGTGGCTCAGTGACCTCTCATCCGGAGCAGGCAGGGAGACGTAGAAGAAAGGTCACTCCGGGAGTCAGCGGGTGGGCTGCGATTTGAAGCAGGAACCACCCCTGTGGGCTTTTCTTTATACAGTCCTCAACGCGGTGTGCAGGAGATGTTTTTGAACCCTCTGTCTCCCTGGCTGCTGCCCCTCTCCCCAGACTTGCGGCCCAAGATGTTTCCAGATGCAGCCACAACAGCCTCTCCTCCTCCCGTCTCACCCGCAGAGCAGGCAGAAGCAACATGGTGTGACCTCCAAGACGAGACAAAGGCAGCAAATGCACGGATGCCTGTCTTGCTCTGGGAACCTGGCCAGCTCACAGTGAGTAAGCCCGAAGGACAGGACATTCACTGTTGCCCCAGGCATGGGCTGAACTAGGTCAGCGGAGACCAACATGCACCGCGAGACTGCACCCCAAGACTCCCAGAGGCCCATGACAGGACTCCCTGGCTTCCACTCTTCCCAGTCAGGCCCAAGGGTGGCAGAATACAGTCCCCAAGGAGCCTTTCCAAGTCCCTGTCTCACAAAGCCCATTCACAGCAGAACCAACTATGGGGAACAGCTTGGAAAGAGACGCCATCCAGCCTGACCTCTTGTTAGTCTGCTTATTTCTATGGTCTCACCTGAAGCCCACACTGCTCCGCTCAGGGTGGGGCCCTGGGTCTTTGAAGCCCTTTGCTGTCTGCTGTTCACTCTGTTCTCTTCCCAAAAGCACCCTGCTGGCTTCACATCAGAGAAGAAGACAAAGCCAGACCTCAGGAAGGGGCGAGCCCACCAGGACACAGGCAGGAAGCCCCAGGATGAAGGGAGGGATGGCCGCTGAATCAGCCCCGGGGGAGAATCTGGGCCCTTCCCAGATAGCTGATGCATCCACTCCCCAGCGAAGAAGCCAGCCTCCCTGGCTCTGCTGACCTCTCTCCAGCCTGGCAAGCTCTGCATAGCCAGGCTTCCTCCAAACACCCCATCTGTTCAACCAGCCGACCAGGAACCCTCACCCTGGAATCTCTCTCTGTCTGTCTCTCTCCCTGTGTCTTTCTGGCTGCCTTCCTCCCTCCCTGGCCCTCCCTCCCTCCACTGTTTCTCCCTCAGGTGTCTACAGCAGCCTCCTGGTCTCCCAAGCTCCAGTCCAACCTCCCCACAGCAACCAGAACAACAGCCTCAAAATGAGACGGGGTGGGCAGGCTGACCGTGCTCTCATCTGCTGAAAACTCCCTTTAGAATCACAGCTGCTGGACAGACGCGGCCTCGGAGCTGGGTGAGGAGAGTCGCTGGTCCCTGGATGCAAAGAGATGGGGGAGGGTGCTGAAGACTGAACTCAGGGCCTTTGCACTGAGCTACATCCCTGGCCCTTTTTCATTTTTTATTTTAAGATAAGATATTGCTAAATTGTTAAATTGCCCATAATGAGCTCCAAGTTGCAATCTTCATCAGCTTTGCAGAGTGCTGAGATTATAGGAATGCACCACTAAGCGCAGCTATGGACAGATCTTATCTAAATGCAACAGACAGTTCTGGGCCATCCTTGTGCCTTTTGTCTTTTTCATGGGCTGCATCCTGAAGGTGTCTCCAAATCACACCTACGCTACCTCATTCTTTTGGTGAAGGGTAATTCTCCATTGTGTGAATGTAAATCACATTTTAAGAATTTTTTCAAACTTCACTGAGGCATAATTTGCATATATATATTATATATATATATGTATTCCTGTTTACATGAATAGCTTAATAAGTTTGGAAAAACATGAAGATACTTTCTACATTGTTACTACAGCTGCATATGCAACACCTAGCTGTGTCTAGCACATAGTAGGTGCTCAATTAAATGCCTATTAGATGAACAGATGAATTGAAAAGCCAGGGAGGGTGGCACACATCTATAACCCCAGAAGTCTAGTTGGCTGAGGCAGGAGAATCACAAATTGGAGTCCAGCCTGGGCAACTGAGAGACTTTGCAAGATCCTGTCTCAAATTTTTAAAAAGGGAATGCTGAGAGTGTAGCTTAGTGTGAAGAACCTGGGTTCCAACCCCAAACCACAAAAAAAAAAAAATCTGAAGGAAGAAAGGAAGGAATGAGTGAGTGGCCTCGGAGGCTGACATGTATATAGGCTAAGCTGTTGCCTCTTTTCTCTGAGCTGTCAAGTCCCTAGGCTGCCTCTCTGCACACTGCAATAGAGGAAGCACTCCTAAGAGATATACAGGGAGTTGCTGCATGATTTCATAACTTTGCAAAAGGGTTCACTTTTTCAAAAAGAATGTACAGGGAAACACCCCTCTGTGGCTCTGCCACCCCCAGGTGGCTGCCCAGTCCTGCGACCAGTGCACCATGAGCCTAGGCCTGTTGCTGTGAGCATCTCAGCAACTCGTCCTGCTCACAACAGGGCCACTCCTGTCCTAGGGCAGGTGCTCAGTGACCACTTGTGCAGCCAACAGATGGGTGAATGAACGCGTACATGAAGGATGGAGTGAGGAACGCCTACCTGGCTACCAAAACAAGCAGCCGCATTTAGATTGGACAGGAGAAATGTCAAAGCAGAAGAGTAACCCTGGCTATGGGTTGTTCAGACCCAAATCACTGACAATTCTCTGTGTGAGTGGAAAATACAAGGAAAGCACAATTACCATTCTGTTAACCCAAGAAACATGGCACCAAGCAAGAGATAACAGTCATTGTTTGGTCTTTTTTTTTTTTGAAGACTGGAGACTTCATCATTCATGCATTTGTTTGAATTTACACAGCATCAAGTATGTCTCTGGCATTTTCATGCATACTGTAAATCCTTAGGACTCTCCACTTACATTTTAGGTGGGAAAGTCCTCCCTTTCTGCCGCTCCTTTGTTCTCGGAGGACGCGGCTCTGAGCACCCAGGGCGATATCCAGAAGCGGGACCCAGCACTGAATCACCTGCTCTCTGCCTGTTCCCAGACAGTCTGTGTAGCTGGACCACAGAGCCGGCTGAAAATGTCCCGAATCCCACGCTCCTCGCCTGGTGCTGTACAGCCCAGCGCTACTTCCAGATCCCAACGCTTCGCTCAGGAAAGCCGCAGCCCCCTTCCACTCCATTGCCTTGCAGCGCCCATGCCAGCCTTCCCTCGATGGCATCATCCCGACACAGGCAAGCATCAGGGCAACGCCGGGCTCAGGAAATGGACTGCTTTCCTCAGGCTCTGACGCCTGATATCAGGAAGCTCCATGGGCCGGAGACGTAGCTCAGCAGCACAAGCGCCTGCCTGGCAAGCGTGAGGTCATGAGTTTGATTCCTGGTACCAAAAAAAGGAAAAAAAAAAGGAAGGAAGCTCCCTGCTCTCCAACCTACTGAGTGTCAGCTAAGAAACAGAATTGGATCCCCCTGTGACACCAAAGCCCTATAGGTTCCAGGAGGCCACTATTTCTGCATTCTTTCATTATAAGAACAAAAGCAGAGCTGGTTTTTATTATAAGAGTATAAGAATAATGAACTTAGGCTCAAGAACCCTGGGGCTAGCATAATCAGAGTCCCCAAGGCACCCCAAGCTCTCCCATTGAGATCATGGGCTTGGCCACATTCTAGGCAGCCCCTGCAGGCTACCCCTGTGTCCCATAACCTCCCTGCAGTTTCCAGCCACTAGGGCCCCGCCTATGCTGTTCCTTCACCATGCCTGCCTGTCCCTTCCGCATCTAACTGGAAAGCCTTATGCACCCTCAGGACCTGCTTCCAGCGCTGCCCACCCCGACACTGCAGCCTTTCCCAGACACCATCTCCCTGGAGGTGTTGACTTTTCCACGTGCCCAGTGTCCTCCAGGACTCCTCACTCTGGTAGGGGTCTGAGTCTGCCTACACTGTGGGCCCTAACCGGCCGGGTCCGTGCAAGATTTGTGTTCCCCGCTCCCCAGCACTAGGGATTAAACCAGGAGACTTCATACGAGCTACATCCCCAGCCTGTTTTTGTTTTGAGATAGGGTCTCGCTAAGTCACCCGTGCTGGGCTCCAACTTGCAGTCCTTCTGCCTCAGCCTCCCAGACTGCTGGGGTTACATGCCCAGCAACAAATTGTTCTTTAATTAAAAATAAATAAATAAACAAAGGAACACATCCCACTTGCTTTGACGTCTGCCCCAGGCAGGATTTCACACAGGTAACCGCAGGGGTTTTCCACGCTCTGCCCATTCCACACACGTTCCCATCCTGCGGCTTAGACCTCGCCCTGAGTTACAATCGCAGGAGCACAGCAATCTCTCTTTAGTTCCTTCTTAAGAGGGAAATTTCTCGCTCTCTTGGATGGCTACTCCCACATAATGCAAATCATCACCTTTCCGCGACCTAAGAAAAGCTTTTCTTTAATCTAGCTGGCGGCGTCTTCAGTGCAAGGATCCAGTGTAAACAAAAGCACGGAGCTAAAATGTCAGGAAGCGAGGAGGCCTCGAGCAAGGCAAGGCCCCTGGGGCACAGCCCGCGGTGGCGCGGGGAGGGCGGGAGCGGCCGCTAAGAGGGGACTGAGACCGCACTGCCCACCTCTTCCTCCACTTGCTTTCCTGCCCCACAATCACGCAGCTTGGAGGTGGCCCAGCCCTTTATTCTGCTCCAAACACCCTCGCATCAGAGCTCACTGGTCCCTGCCTCGGCCCTGCCGGGTGCCAGGCAGGACTGATGACCCCGCAGCGTCCCGGCTAAGCCCTGACCGCCAGGGAAGACTGAGCTCAACCCTGTAGCAGCTGCAGTCCAGCAGCTCCCAGCCTGGCTGGAATCAAAGATGAGCCAGGGTCCTAAGCAGAGAGGTCAGGCAGAGCCAAGGCTGCTGACTTCGCCAGGTGGAGACGCTTGTCTCCAAGAGAGAAGGCGGCAGTTCTTGCAGGCCCCGCTGCCCCCACGCCACAGCATGCCCTGACACCTGGCAGAATGAGGAGCTCAGACCCAAGGTCAGGAGGAGCAGACACAGGAGCCCCATCTCCAGGTCTGCCACAGAGGGACCATGAGACCTTGTGTAGAGTGCCTGGCATGGCACTGTGGGCCCCCGTAAGATGATGCGGGGGGACTCATCAGCCTACTTGGTCTCAGAGTTCATGAGGTCAAAGATCAAAAAGACACTGCAAATTCCAAGCTGAGATACCAACACACTGTAACCATGACAACCTGGGCTTCTCAGCTAAGAGGTTCTACTTCTGAACCCCACAATATCTGGGCAGAGGTGCCAGGCAATTATTTTGTTCTTGGGCAAACTACTTAGCCATCTCAGGCTTCAGGTTGTTTATCGGTAAAATAAATCCAAATATGGCTGGGCTTTTTAAACATAGCTATAATCCCAGCACCCTGGGAAGCTGAGGCAGGAGGATCTTCCAATCTGGACAACTTGGTGACTTATGGAGACTATGTCTCAAAATTAAAAAATAAAGGACCGGGGATATAGCTCAAAGTCCCTGAGTTCAATCCCCAGTACAGCAAATCAGTCAATCAATCACTCAATCAGTCTAAACAATGGAGCTACACAGGGGCAGACGGATCCTGGGAAGTTTAAATGAGGCAGTTCAGCCCTGGACACACAGTAAATGCCCAGTGGACACGGGTGTTATTATGACTGCCCTCCCTCAGCAATGATGGCAAAGACAGTTTCTTCACAGATATGTAATTTTTTTTTAAATTTCTCTCTGCAGACAAGTGAAAAGTTCTTGTGTGAGTTGATCCAGTTTAGAACTGCAGGACATGCAGACCCACCCAGAGAGTTCAGGTCACACTCAGCCCCAACCCTGGAGGCAGCAGAAAATTCCTGAGCAAATCTTAGTGGCCTCCTCCCCACTGCATTCTCTTGAAGTCACCATTTCTTAGCTCCTGAGACACTGACCCTGAGCCTGGGGCCACCAGTAAACACTTACCCTGCAACCAGTTCCATAGAAATTCATCACAGGTTTTGTAACCTAGTAAAGGAGACGGAAATAACTTACTTCACAAGCTAGTGATCAGCCCTCATCAATGTCAGTACTAAGGACAGCAAATTTTTCTGAAAAATCCCCCAAATTTCTTTTTTTTGAGGGGGAGGACAGGGTCTCACAATACAGTTCAGGCTGGCCTTGAATTCACAGCAATCCTCCTGCCTCAGCCTCCAGAGCGCTATAATCCAGGATTACAGGCATTTGCCATCACACCCAGCTTCCAAATTTCAAAATACTGGCTTAGTTTTTCTTTTAACGCTGTGGGTCAAATAAAACATAACCACGGGCCAGATTCACCTCCTGAACCACCATTTTGTGAGGTTTCAGTGTACTTCTCCCACTCCACCCCTCAGTCCTCACCTTCACTTCCAGTGTGTGTGGACAAGAGTGGAGAATGGCTGGCGTTACAGTTGTCTAAGATGCACACTGCCCAAGGGCACCACACCTAAGAGCATGCCACATCTACCACAGGCATGGGAGACTTGCACAGTTTTATCAGTTTCATCAGTTCTCCAGCAGAGGACAGTAGCACATCATGCTCAAACAAAGGCGGCATATCAAAAATTTCTGCAGCTGGAAATCGAGCGTCTTGAAGAAGGGATGTCTTCTCACAATCTGCACAGAGGCGTGGAGGCAGGAAATATCCTGGCCTGAGGCTCCCAACAAACGGGACGCCTTATGGCCCTGGGACGCCACAAGAGAGGCCATCAGCTCTCACTGTATCCCTAACATCCAGACAGGAGCCTCAAACGTGGCGCTGCCCTCATCACATTTCCTTGACCTCAGACCTGAGCCCAAGAAGCACGGGCTCCACTGCTTCCATCACCCGGCAGGCATGAGCCAGGGTCACCACATCGTCCTTAGCAGTGAGGTTTGACCCCACCCCCACCCCATGGGCTTTGGCGGCTGTGCTGCTTCTCCCTAGCGCCACATCAGGACAAAAACAACCGCTCCCAGTGTGAGGGTGAAGACTTTCAGTGAACTGGACAGAGCCCCCCTCAGCTGTCACTTCAGACCCCAGGACTGTCATAAAAACCTCCCACCAAAACCAGACGCCACCGCTCAAGAGTCAGCCTCGCCCCGGCTTTCTCACCAGCCTCTGCTCTGCGGAGTGTACTCCGCTGCCGGTGGTAATCTCCGCCTTCCCACCACATCCGTGTGTCCTGCTCGGTTCTTTGTTCTGGATGCCAGGAGCCTGGACACGGGGTGAGACTGCGACTCCGTCTGGCGGCAGCGTCCTGGGGAACAGCAGCGGCTGTGAGAGAGGACAGTGCTGAAGAGAACGGCCTCACCCTTTCTCAGAGGGCTCCCCAAGGTAGCTCAGCTCCCTCCCGAGGCAGGGCAGGTTCCAGCGGAGCAGCAGTCCTAGAAGTGCACCCACCAGGCGGAGAGAGACACCCTCAGGAGAGACAGGGCCTCAGCTCCTGCCGCCCACGGGGTCGGGTGAGGGTCGCTGACTTCTATCACAGAACGAGAATTTTCAGGATGTCTCAGTGAGAGGCGTAAAGAAATTTCTTAGGTACAATTAGAAGTCCAGACTCGGAGGGGATACAGTGGGACCAGCAAGAAAGAGGTACATCACGGTCAGAGACGGAGGGTCTCACTGAGGCCTTGGGGCCCTGAGAGAAGGGCGAGTCCCTTCTGGGGCTGCATCAGAAAGTGAATTAAAGCTGAGATCAGCTGCCTGCTCAATAGTACGCTGTCTTGAGGCCACTCCCAGGTGAGAAGCACTGGCCCAGAGCCCCCGCAAGCTTACTGTGTCTCTAAGAGCCTTTTCGAATGAGTTTCCCAGGAGGGAGAAACACTTAGTGTTTGTGTCTTGGAGTTGCAGTCTTTCTTAAAAATACAATACTGTAAATTAGGATTTTCCTAGTCTCCTTTTCACCTATCTTATTTTTTTCCATCCTATCTCAGGTACACATCCACTCTGGAAACTATCTGGCACCCTTAATCATAAACATACGTGGCTCATGCCTGTAATCGCGGCCTTAGGTCGACCAAGGCAGGAGAATCCCAAGGTCAAGTCCAGCCTGGGCAATTTAGTGACTCAACAAGACCCTGTCTCCAAATAAAAAAAAAGGGCTGGGGCTGTAGCCCAGTGTGAATGTCCTGGGTTCCTTCCTCAGTACCTCAAGGAGAGAAAAAAAAAAAAAAGAACACACACATACCCACGACAAGCAGCTCCACCTGTGGTACCCAGCAGCTTTCATCCATTGTAAACCCCAAAACATGCTGAAGATTGCTGGTAGGCACACTCACTGCTCCCTGCACTCTACACTCCATCAGGACCAGCAAGAATGAGAAACGCTACACTCACAGAGCGTACTGTTCAGCAGGGCAGCTGGACGTGCTGACTGGAATGGGACAAATCCCATGAAATTCATGGTAAGCAGGCACAAAAGAGAGAACACCCTGGGTGATTTTATTTCTATAAAATGTAAACAGCAGGCAAAGCTAATCTGTGGACTGAGAGGTTGGGCTGCGGTCTTCGTTAGGGGTGAGTGGGTAGCCGACACCGCTGTTAGGAACGTCTAGATTTTTTTTTTCCAGTACTAGGGAGTGAACCCAAGACTTTTGCCCTTAGTTCATCCCTGCCTTTTTATCTTTTATTTTGAAACAGAGTCTTCCTGAGTTGCTAAATTGCCCAGACTGAGCTTGAACTTGGCAATCCTCCTGCCTCAGCCTCCCAGAGTGGTAGGATAACAGGCGCGCACCACCACAACCAGCTCTAATTCTTGAACCACAAGGAGGCCACGTGGTTAGTTCTCTCTGGAAAAGCCCACCCGGCGGTGCGCATGCGTATTGTGAACTTTTCTGCATACATGCTGTGCTCCAGGAAACAGATGTCTCAAAGGCAGTGACCTGTGCGAGAGAGGAAAGCACCGCGTTCACGCGTCGCTGCTTCTAGGTGCGAGGCTCTCAAGCTGTCCACAGCCTTCCATGTCCTCTGCTTTCTTGAGGAGGCCACCGGCTTCCCGCATTGGCATAGTCAGCTGTCCACTCCGGAGTTGCTCACGTGCGATACTTTGTCCAGGCTGTCGCTAACACAGGGCTGGCATTTGCAATCTGGAAGCACCGTTGGCTTCTCGTTTTTCCAAGGAAATGAAAAGGCTCCAAGTCACCAGCACTGTTGCTCAGTGGATCACCACGTAGGAGCTGGGCAGGGGCAATCTACCATCTCAGCAAGAGGAGCAGCCCCCCAGAGCCCCAGCCTGGAAGGGAAGGGTGCAGGAAGGGGTGGGGAGGCGAGGAAGGCCTTGAGGTCTGTCTCAGCGCCCACGCCCCCTGCATCCCAGGAGGACAACATTGAAGATGCTGTCCAGCTCCCTGAAGATCCTCCTTCTCCTCCTCCGGGGGCTCAGGAGGCTGCTTCATGGCCACTCCCAAGAGCCACTGCGGCGGGGGTGGCGGGGCACAAGCAAGTGCAGAGGAGCTGATGACCAAGCCGAGAATGTGGACCCCACCCTGACCTGAGTCTGCAGTCCCTGAGGTGCTGCTGGCCCCCGCAGAGCCTGGCCCTTCGTTAATTACGGAAAGGACGCTTGTCTTTTATTAGTAGGAGTTTGCAGTACGCAGTGTTTACATCCTTCCTGTAGAGCTGGTGTGTGCACATAACACATCTTCATTTTTTTTGGTCCTCTTCCCCCTCCTCTCTGTCCACCTCCCTCCATCTCTTGGTCCCCTTCCCATTTAAGAAAGATCTCTCTACTTCCTGTTATATATCTTTTATTTTGTTCTTTATGTATAATTTGGGTTTTTCTTTTTTGGGGGGTTTCATATTAAAAGAAAACATGCACTATTTAAGTTTGTGTGTCTGATTTATTTCATTTAACATCGTGGTCTCAAGGTGCATCCATTTTCCTATAAGCCACTCAAGTTTATCTTTCTTTATAGCACAGTGGTACTCCATTGTGCATAAATACCACACATTTTCGGTATCTATTCATCTGTGGATGGGCATGTAGGCTGTTTCCAAGACGTAGCTCTTATGGTTTGTGCTGCTATAAACAGGGGTGTGTACATGTCACTGTAATAGGGTGTCTTTAATGCTTTCAAGAAGATACCTAGAAGGGGAAATCACTGGGTGGAATGGAATGTCTAGCTTTTTGAGGATTTTCCTCACTTATTTCCACATTGGTTATATTAGTTTACACTCCCACCAATAATGTAGAAGCTTGCTTTTTCCTCACATCCTCTCCAGCATCTATTACTATTTGCTTTTTTTTAATAGCAGTCGTTTTTTCTGGGGTAAAATGCTATCTCAGTGTTGTTTTAATCAGCATATCTCTAATGGTCAACAATGCTGAACATTTTTTTCATGTATTTATCTTTGTTTTGTACTTCTTCTGAGATGTGTCTATTCAATTCACTTGCCTATTTTTGATTGGCTCTTTCATTTGGGTTTTTTTTTTTTTAGTTCTTTATATAGTCTAGATATTAATCCTTTGAAGAGTAGCTAGCAAAATTTTTTTCCCATTCTGTAGGTTGTCTCTTCACCCTGTTGGTTTTTCCTTTGCTATGCAGCTGTTATAATTTGAAATAATACCTACCATTCATTGATTATTGATGCTGTTTCTTATATAATTGGGGGTTCTGTTTAGAATGTCCTTGCCTGTGCCTATGTCTTAAAAATGTTTTCCCTATTTTATCTTCCAACAGATTGTTTCTGTTTTACATCTAGATCTTTGGTCCATTTTGATTTTGGTTGAGTGCATGGTGACAGATACAGGTCTAGACTCAATCACCTGTATGTGGGAAGCCAGTTTTCCCAGCACCATCTATTAAAGAGGCTGTCTTTCTGCCAGTGTATGTTTTTGGCCCCTTTGTCAAAGATCAGGTGGCTGAATGTGCCTGAAGCTGGCTCTGCATCCTTATTCTGTTCCATTAATCCACAAGTCTGTTTTCCTGACAGTACCATGCTGTTTTCATCACTGTAGCTTTGTAGTATAACTTGAAGTCTGGGATTGTGATGTCTCCTGCTTTGCTCTTATTGCCCAATATTGTACAGTACTTTCACATTTTCCTGTGAAAGAAATGCTTTATACCTTCTCTTTGGCACATCTTAATTGCCAGAGTCACTCACTACTCTTATACTTTGTAGGTATTCTTAAGTAAAATAAGGGCTGCTTGCACAGCCCTGAGATTCTGTGACAGCTGACTTGCTGAAAAAATTGGCTTCCAAGTGACTAACAGGCAGGCAGTGGGCATGACATGGACACACTGGACAGAGAGGTGACTCTCGCCCTGGGCAGGTGGAATGACGTGGCTTGTGATTTCATCATGCTGCTGAGAATGACACAATTTGAAACTTGTAAACTGTTTATTCCTGGGATTTTCCTTTTAATATTAAACATAATTGAAAGAAATCAAACACACAAAAAATGTATATGATAATCCCAATTTTATGAAATAGCCACAATGGGCAAACCTATAGAACAGAAAGCAGATGTGTGATTTTCTAGGGCTGAGGAGGAGCATGAGGAGGGAGGGTTTTTAGGCTGGGGTAACAAAGAAGTTCTGAACCTGGCTAGAAGGGGTTGCATGACACTGGGAATACACTTAATGCACTGAATTGTACATTTTACAGTGGGAAACACTAACTTTTATTTCACATGTATTTTCCCACATGCAGAAAAGGGACCCATGAGCTACTATGTGACTTGGGAATTTAGTGCGTAAGTTCATGTCCAGGAGAACTGAGGCTGTGCCTACACACAGTTGTCCCCACATGACAATCGCAGTCTGATTCATCGCAGCAGGAGACAGAGACAACCCCATCCAATGGATCCATGGATGCATCCATTCCCTGGGGTGCTGGAGCAATGGTTAGAGAACAAAGTATGCATATTGTTTCATAGTTCTGGAGCCTACAGCCATGGGGATGCAGGACTAAGCTTCCTCCAAAGCTCTGTTGGGCTCTGCCTGGCTGCTGGTGCTGGCTGGGAGTCCTTAATCTTCATGGCTCATGGATGCCTCACCCCTTCTTCTACCTTCGTCATATATAGGTTATCTTCTTCCAGTGTGTCTTACAGGGATGGGGGGGTGTCCCCCTACTCTAGTAAGAATTTATCTTAATGAAGAATATCTAATTACATGTCTAGATAAGGTCACAGTTTAAGATGCTAGAGTTAGAACCTCAACATTTTTTTCTAGAGGACACAATTCATTCACAGCAGTAAAGATACAAGTTGTGATATACCCATTCAATGGAATACTATTCAGCCCTAAAGAGGGTAAGATTCTGACACTCCTACAATACAACGCATGCAACACTTGAAGAAAATGATGCTTAAATGAAAGAAGCAAGACACAAAAAGCCACAGAGTATATGGTTCCATTTGTACAAAATACCCAGGACAGGCAAATCCATAAAGACAAAAAGTAGTTTACAGGGCCTGGGGAGAAGGGAAGAATAGGCAGCTGTTGCTAATGGGTACAGAGCTTTTTTTGTAGAGGGACTGAAAATGTGCTGGAATTAAATAGCATAATACCACAACATCGTGAATATACTAAAAACTACTGAATTGTAGGTTTTAAAGGAATCTATGGTATGTGTGTTAGTTACTTTCCTCATCCCTGAGACAAAAATACCCAGTACCTACAAGTTAAAGGAGTAAAGGTTTATTTCAGCTCACAGTGTGCAGAGATTTCAGTCCATAGTCAGATGGTTCCAAGGCAGGGCAGCATGGCAGGGGGGCATCGCAGAGGAGGCACAGTCCATGTTGAGGCAGGCAGGAGGCAATGAGTGAGTATCGAGCCTGCTCTTCCCTTTTATCCCATCCAGGCTACAAGCCTATCGATTGGTGCCACCCACACCCAGGGTGGGGTTTCCATTATCCACATCCACAATTATGCTAAACCAATTTAATACCACACACCTTTAATCCCAGTATCACACCTTGGATCCAGTCACCTCCAAAAGGCCCCACCTACTAGTGCATGAGGTTTTGGGAGGATGTCTAGATACAAGCCACAATACTGTGTAAATTATATTTCAAAACTGTTTAAAGACCCTGTATAAAGGATGAAAAGATAAATGACACCAGCAGAAAATATTTGCAAACCACATTCACCAAAGGATTTGCATCTAGAACTCTGGGAGGCTGAGGCAAGAGGGTTGCAAGTTCAAGCCCCATCTAGGAAATTCAGTGATTTAGCAAGGAGACCCTGTCTCAAAAAAAAAAATTTTTTTTTAAAGTTGAGCTGTAGCTCAGTGTGAATGTTCTCAGTTCAATCCTCAGTACTATCGAAATAAAAACAAAGACATAAGAATGAAAAAATGTCCAATATCATCAGCTGTTGGAGATAAACAAATTAAACCAGAAGGAGGCTTCACTTCAGCCTTCAGAACAGCTCAGCAAAAGTAATAATAACATCCAGTGCTGGCAACAAGGCCAGGAAACTGGATTCTGCATGCAAAGATGGTGGGAATAGAACCTCGTACAGCCATGTGGAAAACAGTTGGGCAATCTCTTTTGCAATCTAAAGATGTAATCACCATATGACCCAGGGAATATTACCTTGGGGATTTACCCTAGAGAAAGGAAAAATCACATTCACAGAAAAATCCAAAGTTCCCAGCAACTTTATCCATAATAGTCAAAAACTGGAAAGAATCCAACCTGCTTCAACAAAATATCATAGCATGGATGCTGTTTACCCATACAAAGGGACATATTATTGATGGATTGATCTCTCTTCTGAATCTCAAGAGAATTATGCTTAGGGGGGAAAAGCCAATCTCAAAAGGTTATGTATGACTCTATGTATAGAACATTCTTTTTTTTTCTTGCTAGATAGTTCAGGCCAGCCTCAAAATCATAGCAATGCTCCTGCCTCAGCCTTCCAAGTGCTGGGACCACACCTGGTCTAAAATATTTTTTGGGGGGGGGCGTTTTTTGAGACAGGGTCTCACTATGCAGTTCCAGCTGGTCTTGAACTCACTTTATAGCCCAGGCTGGCCTCAAACTCACAATGCTCCTCTTGCCTCAGCCTCCCAAGTGCTGGGATTACAGGCGTGTGCCATCACACCTGGCTATTCTTTTTTTTTTTTAATTAGATTTTATTGGTACATTTTAGATAGATATAACAATCACATTCATCATACAGAATTTGTACCTGCACATGATATAACTTATTTTTCCCCATTCCCCTACCCTCCCTTCAACCCCTCCTCCTCTCCCCATTTACAAAGCTTTGTTTCCATGCTTTCCTTCTTTAGAACATTCTTGAAGAGACAGAATTATAGATTAGTGTTTTCCAGGTTGTGGGGTGGGTGGATATAAGGCTTTGATGTCACAAAGGTCTACACACGTGATGAAGTAACACAAACACACACACACACATATAACTAGTGAAGTCAGAGTAAACTCTGTGGATCATACCAATGTCAAGTTCCTGATTTCTATGTTGTTCTACAGGTAGGGTATCCCTTGTCTGGAATGCTTGGGAATCAATGTTTCAAATTTCAGATTTTTTTTCAAGACTTTTGAAGATTCTCACACACATGCTGAGATTTCTTGAAGGTTAGGTTGCAAGTCTAAATATGATCTTCATTTCTGTCATACAGACACCTTGCACCCATAGCCTGGAGGTCATCTCATACTATAATTTCAGTGCACTTGTGTTTGGACTGTGACCATCACATGGGGTCGGGCGTGGGTTCCCATCTGTAGTGTCATCCACACAAGGAGTTCCAGGTTTTGGAGCACTTTGGATTTTAGGTTTTCACGTTACGGATGCTCAATCTGTGTGGTATAAAACACGGTACTACTGCAGGCACACAATAAGGGTTCATAGCACCTTCTGAATGGTTTGGGGTTTTTCTTCCTTTTTTTTTAACTTCCTATGAATAGAATTTGTTCAAAATAAAGTTCTTAAAGTCAGCGATTTCTTTACAAACACACTGGGAGGCTGATACCACGGGGGCTCTCGTCTGCAGAACACAGCCTGCCACACACACCCCGGTGGCCACAAGCCTGTGTGACAGCTGCGTGTCTACCTTGCACAGACCCCAGGTGCAACCCCACGGCGGCGTCACCTGGGTCCTGGAGACCTTGTGTCCTGGAAGACAAGCCCCAGAGAGAGATGCAGGTGTGCTCTTAGCCGGGCTGTTCTCCACATCACAGCAGGGCAGGGGGAACTGACTTAGCCGATGGGACGCCACCCAGTAGCAGAGGAAGGAAACTAGCTCAGCTCTCCAAGTCATCCACCTTCTTCGCCAAGTCAGTTCCAGAGTGATCCGAACTACAGTGAGTGGTGAAGGTTTAAAAAACATATTATAGCAAAGACACACTGGCATGGATGCCCTCAGAAGCCTCCCTCATGTGGAACACACTCATCCCCTTGTTCTTGCCACTTTCTGGAGCAGTTCTGGAAAACCTCTTTCCTGAGTGTCTTTCCAAAGAGTGATTTTAAAAACAAAATGTATGCAGTGAAAGCACCATCCAGAGGAAAGCCAGGCTCTCTAGAAGAACAAGAGGGGGCAGGGTCACATCTTGGGTTCTGCCTGACCTGTCGCTGCCCCAGAGCCTCTCCAGACACCTGGAATGTAAATAGTTCCTGTATCCACAGCCGGCCACACCCTTTCCTGGAAGCTAAAGTGCCGGTTGGAGCAGGGAGGGAGAAGGAGCAGACCTGCCAATTTTCCTTTTCAAGGTCGCTCTTTGGAGATTGTGTTTTTGCTGATGATTTTCCTGGTTCCAGGAAGAAACTTCCCCTCTTGGTGTCTCTCCTTAAGCAAGAGGGACAGATAAGTGTCCCCTCCTTTCCCCACCCTGCCGATCTGGAGCCTCTCCAGCTAAATAAATAGATAAGGCAAGAGTTCTTCAGGTACCTGATCAAAGCAGCATGAGAGAATCAAGAACGAGTTATTCATTTGCCTCTAAAGATCAGAGCGGGCTTCCTGGAGGAGGTGGCATTTGGAGCACATGATGAGGATGGAGGCAGAGATTTAGGCCAAAGGATTTTGAATGTTGGGCTGAATTTTTCTGTAGAAAACAGTGTTGTGGAAGGCTTTTTGAGTAGAGGAATAATAGGATTTTATCTCAGCAGCAAGGCAGAGATTAGATTGCCCCAGCAGGAAAGATTAAAGGTTGGGGCCTGGTAAGAATGTTGCTGCAATAATTCAGATGAGTGGTGATAAGCAGTTGCTTTCGAGTGCTAGGAAGCTGGGAAATTATGAGAAACTGCATTCCAGGAGCTAGACCGGGCAGGCCATTATGAGTAATTGGATCTTGTGGGTCAAAAGGCGGCCAAAGTGAATTTCTGCCTTGGTGAATAGCGATGCTATTAATCGATGTAGAGTCAAGGAGGTTGATTGGGGTCAGGTGGGGCTTGAGGCCTCTTTGAGAACCCCGGGTGGAAATGAGCCGTGAGCTGTTGGAAATCTGAGTCCAAAACTCAGGAAGCAAATGTCACCAGTCATTAGCTCTGAGCAATGGAGTTCTGGATGATTTTGTGCGATCATCTTTAGGACTCTTAACAGGCCTGTGTGACTGTTATGGCTACAATAAAGAATAAGTAGGATGAGGGAAGTGGTACACATCTGTAATCCCAGCACTCTGGGAAGCTGAGGCAGGAGGATCACAAGTTTGAGCCCAGCCTGGGTAACTTAGTGACCTAGCAAGACCCTCTCTCTCAAAAAAAAAAAGGGAACGGGCTATTTTTTAATAATAACTATAGCAGGAGACAGGTTTGGATAGGGAAAACTGGTACGACCACAGATACCATACAGCGCATGAACAGGACTGCAGATTTAGAGTCCATTCAGTTCAGCTCAGATCAACACAACCACTGAGCATTTCCTCTTTGTCAGACTCAGGGCTACTAAAGCAAACAAGGCAGTGAGTAACAGACACGGTCTCCAGCCTCAGGAATTCCCCAGGAGGCGGGAAGTGCCAGAAGAGAAAGGGTGGGTGGATGCTCCACTTTGGGGGGTTTCTTTAGGACTTACGCTGCCAACACACAGGGAGCAGTGCACAGACTGACCCCGGAGACTATGGGGAAGTTGCTTATGTAGAAAAACATGGTGAGCTCAGGTGTGCATGGTGTCTGACTTCCTGTTTAGCTGTGGGCGGGGAGGAGCTCCTCATGGACCTGACCAAGGGTGGCTGCCAAGGGGTGGGGTCATCCAGCAACTCTGCAGGATGCTGTCATCCAGGATGGACCCCCAGCCAAAGCTTGCTGCAGCCAAAGCAGATGTCTCCGGGAGCAGAAGGGGGCTGTGCGATGCAGCTGTGGCCAGCTGCGAGGCAAACAAGCAGAGGAAGGAAAACAAAATCCAAAATGTTCCTCTTAGGGAGCATCAGGCCCTCCCTCCTGTCCCAGCATCACCCTTGAGTTCACCACAGGGCGGTTCTGAGGACCTGGCTCCTCCACCCCCTCCTAGACAGGTTTGTTGAAGTACGAGTTATTCCTGGTCCTATCTGGTCTGTTCAGGGTGCTGATCACCGTAACAGCTAATGCCCATTGACTTCTCACCTGGTGCTGTACTACTCGCCTGGTGAGTACTTCACACCTGAGCAGTTCCCCCTCCTCACCAGTTGCAGCTCGGCCAAGCCCAGAGAGGGTAAGGACCCTCCCCCAGGACGCCCAGGTCGCTCTTGTGGGATTTGACCCTGGGTTGCAATGCACCCGAGGAAGAAGACCATCTGTCTGTCTGGATGAGGAGCCTGATTGGTATCCAGTGCCTGAGATTCTGGCCCCTTTCAAAAGCTTCTGTCTCCAGACATTGAAAACAAAATCTCAGTCAAACAAGCAACCCAAAGCATTATTTTTATGCTAATCATTCCTCAGTAATGAAGCCCAGAAAGCAAAATGTAGGAGCGGTTTGTTTTTTTGTTTTAAAGAAACAGGTTGTCACTATGTTGCCCATGCTGGCCTCAAACTCCTGGGCTGAAGTGATCCTCCTGCCTCAGCCTGCCAAGCGGCTGGGACTAGGTATGTGACTCCACACCAGTTTATAGAAGCATTTTTAAGACAAAGCTGCAGGTAGAGCCCAGAGCCTTTCATCCCCCCAGTCTCAGGATCCCAGGGTCACACACAGGGAAGCCAGGCCTCTAGCATCAGCCTCAGCCTCTTGCTCCCCGGGGCATTTGTCACGCTGTGTCCACCGACTACCCTGCACCCCACCTCCCTGTTTAGTGACCTCCACCCTCCCTCAGCACCTCTTTCCTCCGCACTTTCCCTGCTCCCTCCACCCTCCACCCTTTGGCCAGCACTTGCTTGACATTTTGCAAACTGCCTCACCCCACTCATTGTCTTCCCCTGGGCATTTTTCAATCTGTCCAGTAAAACCAGTGGCTCCCTGCAGGCAAGAGCCCCCAGCTCTCTTTCCTCCCTCTAAGCCGCCCAGAGCCCCCGTTTACACGTGATTCTCCGCCCCTGCTTCCCCCAGGGACAAGTGTTGCCTGCTTTGCAGGCGGATACTGCCCCTGATTTCGGGGCCATCCCTGCGGAAACGCTACAGCCTTCTCTGAGTCCCAAGAGCTGCTGGCTTTGACTGGCTGAGCCAAGTTTGCTGCCAGGGAACAAGAGAAACTGACAGGCAGGTCTGTAGCCCTAGACTCAGAGCTGCGTTTCTGCTGCTGGGTCAGGAGGTGGGCTTCCTGCTTACCCTGCTCTGCCCAGTGGTGACCTGGGTCCCTTGGTGTCACCCTCAGATAAGGTCCAAACCCCTTTGTACATCTGTGCTGGGCTCTCAAAGGCAGCACTTCCTCGTGATCACGTGTAGTTTGGGTCCTGTTTGATCTCTGTTTGATCACTGTGTGCTTTCTCTGCCCGACTCTGTGTCCCCAGCACTTGGCAGGCGCCCAGGCGGCAGAGGAGCACTGCTGGGGTGGTTCACTGAACACTCTCCCATCCGGCCCACAAATCACAGCCTCTCGGAGAACTTCCTGGAGCTGGCCTGGCTCCCACCTCTCATCTACCGCAGGAGCTGGTGCTGGGGGTGGGAACCCACAGGGACAGCAGGACACAGGCTGCCTCATGGGTGCCAGCAAGACTCCCAGGAAGTCAGGGAGGGGCCGCTGCGGCTATTCTGGTCAGTTCCCATCCTGCACTGCCAGGGCGACGGGAGGTGCTGTAAGGTTAGCCAGAAACACACAGTGAGGTCCTCCTCCTAATCCAGCTCTGGATCCAGAGTCAGAGCACAGTAGGATAAAGGGAAATTCCAGGCGGAGGTCCAAAGCCCAGAAGCCCTCTCCTGGCCACTCTCCCGGGCTATTAGCTGGAGTGACCTGGGACCAGGACAGGAAAAGCCTCAGGTAACACCTGACCCGTGGCCACATAGCAGCAGTCACCGCCATCCACCATCCGGTGCAATGCAGATTCCCAGGCAGCAGGCTGGGGTGGGGCCCAAGTCTGCACCCCTAACAAATCCCAGGTGTTGCTGATGCGGCTGGCCTGACGCTGTGGTCCAGCTTCGAGGGTCAAAATGTGGCCCCAGAAGCAGCAGCTTAGCATCAGGTCAGCATCTCTGGGAAGGTGTTGGCTATAGGAAACTCAGATGCCTTATTAGGCCATGTTAGCATCAGCCAGGGGCACCATGCCACATGCCTGGGATCCCTGACTCTGGGAGATTGAGGCAGGAGGACCAGAAGTTCAAGGCAGCCTGGGCAATCTAGAGATTTAGTGAGATGCTGTCTTAGAATTTTAAAATATTTTTTCAAAGGGCAGGGGATATCACGCAATGTAAAGGCTATGAGTTCAATACTCAGTACTGGGAAAAAAAAAAAAAAGGAGTCAGGCACTGTGGCACACACCTGTAATCCTGGCACTCTGGGAGGCTGAGGCAGGAGGATCACAAGTTTGAGCCCAGCCTGGGCAACTTAGCCAGACCCTGTCTCAACATTTAAAATGGGCTGGTGGCAGAGTCACCACGCGCAGCAATCTCACACAAGTCGGGTGCACACACAGAGGCCGGCCCGCGGGGAGCACTGGTGAGGTCCAGAGCGCCTGACCTTTCGGGCATGCCTGCAGCCTGGGCTTTCGGCGCGACCCCACCTAACCATGGCTTCGGCTTTGGAGGAGTTGCAGAATGATCTAGAAGAGGTAAAGGCGTTGCTAGAAAAGGCCACTAGGAAGAGGGTACGTGATGCCCTGACAGCTGAAAAATCCACGACTGAAACAGAAATAAAGAATAAGATGCAACACAAATCACAGAAGAAGCCAGAACTTCTTGACAATGAAAAACCAGCTGCTGTGATTGCTCCCATCACAACAGGATACACAGTGAAGATCAGTAATTATGGAAGGGATCAGTCAGATAAGTTTGTGAAAATCTACATTACCTTAACTGGAAGTTCACCAACTTCCCACTGAGAACGTGCAGGTGCATTTCACAGAGAGGTCATTTGATCTTTTGGTAAAGAATCTAAATGGGAAGAGTTACTCTATGATTGTGAACAATCTCTTGAAACCCATCTCGGTGGAAGGCAGTTCAAAAAAAATCAAGACTGATACAGTTCTTCTCTTGTGTAGAAAGAAAACGGAAAACACTCGGTGGGAGTACTTAGCTCAGGTTGAAAAAGAAAGCAAAGAAAAATAAAAGCCATCCTAGGATGCTGAGGCAGAGCCTAGGGAGGGATTAATGAATGTTCTAAAGAAAATTTATGAAGATGGAGATGATGATATGAAGCACCATTAATAAAGCCTGGGTGGAATCAAGACAGAAGCAAGCCAAAGGAGATACAGAATTTTGAGGCTTTCAAGTCCTCTTGAGAACTATGATATAGACATACTGATATTTCCAATAAGGGAATGTTGATGAACTGCACATAGAAATTTGACAGATAGCTACAAAGCCTTTAAAGTAAAGGCAGTGACTACTCCATTTCTTACTGGAGGATTTATTTAAATAAGATATGCATATTAAGTACTTCCTCTAAAGATGGTTCCATTAGTACCCTGGTCATTTTGTTCACGAAAGGGTCACATGGTATTCTCATTGAAATATAAAAAGCAAGTCTTGCTTAATGAAAACAATACATTATGTATATTTTTGTTCCACTAGGAGGTAGAAAACAGAAGTATATGCTTGCCTGTAAGTTACAGACGTCAGCTCCCACTAATGTAAGAATAAGAGTAAAACTGAATTTTTGTATAAAATGCAAAGTTGTGCTTGCGCTTCAAATTTGCTGTAGAGCAGATGATCCCCTATTGCCAGCTTGAGCAGTGCAAATAGCAGGGATTACCATACACTAATCCAATGACAAATGTTTCTATCTAGATTTAACTATATTTGTCTATGAATATAGAAGAAGTAACAGAAAAGCATCTTCATATAGTACCAGTTAGTAAGCTCTACTGTGGATCAGTTAGCTTCAGAACTAGTAACCCTAAAGTAAAAATAATTAATTTGAAAATCCATTTATTCCTATGTTCAGTAAAGTTGGATTTTTATATAAATAAAAAAATAAAAATGGGTTGGTGATGTAGTTCAGTGTGAAGGCTCTGGGTTCAATCCTCAGTACTAAGAGAGAAAGGAACAAAGGAATGAAATCAGGAGAGAGGGAAAGAAAGAGAAGAATGCAGAGCCCCAGGCCCTGCCCCAGGCTTGCTGATGAGAACCTGCCTTTGAAGAAGACCCAGGTGTCTACACACAAGGAAGAGAAACTCTGTGCCCCGGGCTGGAGCTGCTGCATGTGGTGCCCCCTGCAGAGCGGTGACCGCCGACGGGATCCTGGGAAACTGATTTATTCCCTACCAGATAAAACCCACATATTGGGGATTTTTAAAAACTCTCTAAATGATCCTAGTAGAAAGCAATGTTTGCAGGCTTTGCTCTACTTTTGACCGGTTTACTAATTCTTTGTTAATTTTTACTACAATTTTTAAAATATTTATTCAATTTTTTTCTCCTGAGAACATACACAAAGAAGCAGCAAACACAGGAAAAGATACTCAACAGCACTCCTCATGGAGGTAATTCAATAAAAAGCCACAGTGAGGTAACACCTCATACCTCCTGGGGTGGAGAGCGTCATAAAATTGGAAAGTTAGCCAGGTGTGGTGGCGCCTGCCTGGAATCCCAGCACTTTGGGAGGCTGAGACAAGAATGGCAAGTTCAAGCCCAACCCGGGCAACTTAGTGGCTTAGCAAGACACTGACTCAAAATAAAAAGAAAAAGAACTGGGGATGTAGTGCAGTGTGAAGACCCTGAGTTCAAATCCTAGTACTGCAAATAATAATAATAATAATAACAATAATAATGAAAATAACAAGTGCGAGTGAGACTGAGGAGAAAATGGAGTACTGTGCCAGGTGGGTAGGAATATAAAATGGTGTGGTCACTATGGAAGGCAACTGAGGCTTCCTCAAAAAGCAGAATTACCCTATGTTCCAGCAATTCCAGTCCTACCTCTATGCCCAAAAGAACTGAAAAGGACTCAGGTACTTGCACTTCCAACCTGTGTAGAAGCACTGGTCACAGCAGCCAAAAGGCAGGAACAGCCCAAGTGCCCCTCAGCAGATGAGTAGGTAATAAAATGTGCTTTCTCCATGCCGTGGAATAGTATACAGCCATGAAAAGTGATAAAGCACTGATGCAAGCTACAACATGGATAAACCTTAAAAATATTATGCCAAGTGAAAGAAGCCAGACACAAATGAACAGATATGTGATTCTTACATAAAATATATAGCATAAATTAATATGTTTGATTTTGTTAAATGAGCTCTAGGTACACATAGAATAAAACTCAAAAGGAACAAAATGGTAACCAGTGAGATGTCTTCCTCTCTCCCAGCAACCCTCTGCAGGTATGACTGTCCCCAACTTCCTTAGCGCCCTTACAGGGCTACCTGTGCATATGCATCATATGAGTGTACCCCACTGTTTGCATAAATGTCCCTGAGCCAGGGAGAGAATATCCCCAGAACTGCCTCCCAGTGGAGCCTAACACTTGAGTCAAGAGATTTTATCATCTGGCCTTAATGTCTTTGCCAAATCTCTGAAGCTCTGGATTCTGCCTCCCTCTTATAGACCGAGACTGTGGCACTACCATACTTGAAGAGTCTGTGAGTTCTGGGGACGGTAACCCGGCTTCTTTGGACATTTTTCCAGCCTGCCGGAAACTGCACCAGGGTCCATCCAACCCAGCTACAGGCCTCGGCTTCATCATGAGAATTTCTTGCGCCTTATGGATCTTAAAATGAGGGAAAATCACTCAGGAAGATTTTACAAAATGTTTTAATTCCTGGGTATTTCCACGTTAGCTTCTGTGGTAAAAGAAAATTTGCCTTCCAAGATAGGTTCTACGGAATAGGTCTTTGCATGTAGAAATTCTACTGATTTTTTTTTTAGGTAGAGTGTTGCTATGCAGTTCAGGCTGGCCTTGAGCTCACCTTGTAGCCCAGGTTGGTCTCAAATTTGCAATGATCCTCCACCTCTATCGATTTTTAAAACATGCCCCCTCACCTTACCAAATCCTCTCACCCATCATAGTAGTCTCCAGCTGATTGCCACATTTCCTGCTGCAGCTCGTGACACACACGGAAAATCTTTAGTTTAGTTCAGCTCTTTATTCCAGTATAAGTAGGAATTCCCTTTTTTGGGGGTTCTTCTCAATCTGTTTTAAAATATAGGAGAAGTCTTCAAAACCCAAGCTTGGGTGTCATTAAAATGACAAATTACTAAAAAGGTTTCTTTCTTTTTTTTTTTTCCAGTACCAGAAATCGAACTCACGACCTCGCATTTGCCAGTCAGGTGCTGTGCCACTGAGCTAAATCCCCAGCGCCACCCCCCTTTTTTGTTTTTTTTTCCAGTACCAGGAACCAAATTCACAACCTCACGCTTGCCAGACAGGCGCTGTGCCACTAAGCTAAACCCCTAGCCCCTAGAAAGTTTTCTTAATGCTTAGTTTTCATTTGTGAACTTATCTTGTCCCAGAGGAAGTGACCCATGGACCTCCCTGTGAGTTTCCCTGCTTTGAACCATAGTCATGCTGGCATCCTCAGAAGGTGCTGGGATTCCAACCTTGCACCCTCAGAGGTTCACCTATCAAACTGTGTCTCCTACTGCAAAATTGTCACCATCAGCTGGACATGGCGGCTCACATCTGTGATCCCAGCACTCTGGGAGGCTGAGGTAGGAGGAGCACAAGCTTGAGCCCCGCCTAGGAGACTTAGTGATTTAGTGAAACCTTGTCTGAAAATAAAAAAAATAAAAAGGGCTAGAGATGTAGCTCAGTGTAAAGGCCCTGGGATCAGTCCTTAGTATCGTGTGGGGGACATCAACTACAAAATGTAAGTCATTGTGTGACCAAGCACTTGGTTGTGCGTGTGTATTTGAGTACATTTTTCACATCTAAAACAAACAGAAAGAAAATGAAGAAACAATACTATCCCAAGGATATTTCTACTGATATTGAAAGAGTGCACAGATTTTTTTTTTCTCCAAACTGGGTAGGGGATACCGGGCAGGAGGAACAGGAACAAAACCAAGTTTTATAAACTCTGAATCTACTACACTTTGATGTGGAGGGAAAACTAAGTTTTCTAAAACAGATGCTTCAATTAAGATGTTTTTTCTTAACATTCACTGGTGTGACAAGTGACAGGCACGGCCTAGTCCAGTGACGGCAAACCTTTTAAAGACTGAGTGCGGAAACTGTAACCCGAAACCCACTTACTCATCACAAAGTGCCAACCCTGCAATTAACCTGAACGCAGAGATTTTAGATTAGAAAACACTAGGGCCGGGCGTGGTGGCCCACACCTGTAATCCCAGCAATTGGGAGG